ATATATATATATATATATATATATATATCTCCTTGGCTATCCTGGGTTATATTCATTTATGCTATGGAATATCTGTTTAGTGATGCAAAGGTGTGTTGCATTCTCTTACGTTGCATTTATTTAGTTCTGTAAAGCTTTATTACTTTGCCTGCCTAAAACATCTAATTGGTCTAATAAAGAGCTGAACAGCCAATAGCTACTCGGGAGAAAGAATAGGCAGGGCTGGCAGGCAGAGAGAATAAACAGGAGTTGAAATCTAGAGAAAAGCAGGGGAGGAGTGAGAAAAGGAGGAGGGGGCCAGGGGCCTGCCACCCAGCCACCCAGCCAGCCATGGAGTAAAATGGAAAGAAAGATATATAGAATAAAGGTAAAAGCCCAGAGGCAAAATGTAGTTAAAGAGAAACAGGATAATTTAAGTTAGAAAAGCTAGCTAGAAACAAGCCAAGCTAAGTCTGGGCATTCATAAGTAAGAAAAAATCTCTGTGTATTTATTTGGGAGCTGAGTGGTGGGCCCCCAAAGAGTTAAAAAAAATTAAAAAGCCAACTACAGCCAGGCGGTGGTGGCACACACCTTTAATCCCAGCACTTGGGAGGCAGAGGCAGGCGGATCTCTGTGAGTTCGAGACTAGCCTGGTCTAGTCTCCAAAACCACAGAGAAACCCTGTCTCGAAAAAGAAAAAAAAAAAAAAAAAAAAAAAAAGCCAACTACATACCACCATGCCCAGCTAGTTTTATATTTTTTACTATGTCGCTTATTTTATATATTGTAAATATCTTCCCCAGACTTTCCACTGCACATAGAGTTTCAAGATATCAACAGTGCCCCCTGAAATTATGACACTTCCCAAAGGCAAAAGAGAATGACTTAGACAGGTATGAGATCTACAAACATCAACAAGACCAGAGATCAATCATAACCATATACCTCTGACACTTGAGAACTTCAGGTTTATTTAAGCACCCTTCAGTCACTAGCTTCAGCCCCACAAAAACCAACAAAAATAATGGGTCTCATTTTCTCACTCGTAGGGTATAAAGATCAGTCGGTGGTTAGTCAAGATCATTTTTGGGATCCAAGTTTGAACTGTTACCCCAGCTTTATAGCTGACACAATTCGGGCCCACCCACAGATGCAAAGAAACTTTTTATCATCACAGCCCTGCTTAATAGTGGGCAAGGAGCCAAGTGGAGTGACACATGCCTTTGACCCCAGCACTTGGGAGGCAGAGGCAGGCGAATCTCTGTGAGTTTGAGGTCAGTCTGATCTATATACTGAGTTTCAGGACAGCGAGAGCTACATAGTAAGGCATGAATTCTAATTGGTTTTAATAATAAAAACTCGCAGTCAGATATTGGGGTGAAAGCTAAAGGATTAGAGAAGCAGAGTGGCCAGCCACTAGAGCTCTTACCTCTACCAATGCTCAGACCAAAGGGGCGATCCTGGCCTCAGACTGCCATTCAGTCTGTTCCTCAACATGCACTGAGTTCCTGTCTCTTCCTGCCTTATATTCCTCTCTCTACCCAGCCATATCACTCCTGTCTCCACCTCCCTAATGCTGGAATTAAAGAAGTGTGATCCGAAATGCTAGGATCACCTTTGTGTGAGCTCTGTCTCTCTTGTAGAGAGAATTTTTATATCAATTTTGTGTAGCCCAAGATGGCCTTGAACTCACAGAGATCCGTCTGCTTCTGCTGGGATTAAAGGTGTGTGCCACCACTGCCTGGCCTCTATGACTAACTAGTGTGGCTAGCTCTGCACTCTGATCCTCAGGCAAGCTTTATTTGTTAGATCATAAACAAAATGTCACCACAGGACCCAAAATGCTAGTCATCGGGTTTCCATGACAGGGAGTGACCCTACTCTGCTTTCACAGGATGAAGCCCATCTTGGCATATGTGTCCTTGAAAATAAGACACAAGGACAAACTTCATTCAACTACTTTTATTGAGCAATAATGGTGAAGGAACTTTATTCTATACTAAAAGATAAACTGGATGGAGCTGCTATTGGGCTTTATTGCTAGAGGCAAGACTCTTACAAAGAGGAAAGAGGCAGAATCCAATGTCCTTTTAAAGTGATTGTTACTAGTATTACACGCAGAAACATGGATTTGTTTAGAACTTATATATAACTGAAAGAAGGTGGCTTTTCTTGGTATAAAATGACTAGTAGAAAATTCTCTAGTTTTGCCTGTTGTATGTGGGGGTTTATCAGTATTATTAAGATACAGAATGTTGCCAGGTGGTGGTGGTGCATGCCTTTAATCCTAGCACTTTGGAAGGCAGAGGCAGGCAGATCTCTGTGAGTTTGAGGTCAGCCTAGTCTAAAGAGCAAGTCTCAGGACAGGCTCCAAAACTACACAAAAAAGAAACCCTGTCTTGAACCCGCCCCCAAAAAAAGATATTGAATGTTAATCATGAAAATTCAGTCCAAATGCAAGACTTGATGTTTCATCCACAATGTAGGGCTTGTTTTTATTACTATAGGAAGGGATTGTGCCCACTTTCCTTTCCTGCCTTGGCTGATGAATCTCATTCCCGTCTGATTCAAGTCTTGCACTAATATCTTATGCATGATAGACATTCCAGAAGCAAAAAAAAAATGAATTCATGGGTGCTGGGGAGCTGCCACTCAGTTTTACTAGTTTTGCAGCTTCAAGGAATTATCTTTAAAGGGTGGGTGAAGACTCCGTTTGGCAAACAGAGACACAAATGAACAACTATCCTGAAAGTCTTTAAACAGTGGGGCATGGTGGTGCACAGCTTTAATCACAGCACTCAAGGGGCAGAGGCAGGTGGATTTCTATGAGTTCAAGGCCAGCCTGATCTATATAGCAAGTTTCAGGGTAGCCAGAGTCACATGGTGAGACCCTATCTCAAAGAGTCTTCTAACAGCCCTTTATATTGGAAATGACTACCCAAGGGAATACACGCTTTCATATTACCTATTTGATGTGGGAGTGATTTCTTATTAATAAAGAAACTGCCTAGGCCCATTTGCATTTGATAGGCCAACCCTTAGGTGGGTGGAGAAAACAGAACAGAATTCTGGGAGAAAGAAGCTGAGTTGAGGAGTCGCCATGATTCTCCCGCTCCAGACAGACGCAGGTTAAGATCCTCCCTGGTAAGCCAGCTCGTGGGCTACACAGAATATTAGAAATGGGTTAGAACAATATGTAAGAGCTAGCCAATAAGAAGCTGGAACTAGCCGGGCCAGGCAATATTTAATAGAATACAGTTTCTGTGTAATTATTTCGGGCATAAGCTAGCCATGCGGTTGGCCGGGAGCCAGGGACGCAGCCCTGCCGCTCCTATTTCAACACCTATTGTTTATATTGTTTACATGGCTCATTATAAATCTTGTTACAGCATACATATATGCATAGGGACATATATATACATATATGTGTGTATACATATTCTAAAGGTTTTCCAACATAAACTTTTAAATATTTTTAAAAGATTTTATTACTATTTATGTATGCTTCTCTATGTGTGTGTGTGCATGTGATGCATATATACATATATATGTGTGAATACTTGAGGAGGCCAGAAGAGGGTGTCGGATCCCCTGGAGCTGAAGTAATAGACCATTGTAAGCTGCCTGGTGTGAGTGGTAGGAACTGAACTCTGGTCCTGAGCTATCTCTCTAGACCCAACATAAACTTTTTAAAAAAGAATTGAGTCCTATGAAACACTGTTAGATGTCAGGGTACAAAGGCTGAGCCTTTTCTACTCTGATCTGTAAGCCCCTGAGAGATATACCTGGGTGCAGGGAGACCTTGGAAAGTGCCAGCTGCTACCCCAGAAAGACTGTCCGAATGGCAAAATGCCAGCAGAATGGTCATCCCAGGTTACTGGGTCAGGTGCTTAGAACCTGATGCTTCTTCTGTGGCATGGCACCCAGATATAGGAAAATCAGTGTCCTGAGTTCCCAGCATTCCCTGTGCACCTTGAACGGTCTGTCTTGAGTGCCTTAGAGGGAAATCGGTGACGAGAGGAAAGCTGGAGCACTGAGCCTAGCCTAGAATGACAGCATTAGTTCCAGAAGACTAGCAAGGGTTACATCCACAACCATGACGTCAGACACAGGCCACCTGGTGCTTCAGAGATCTTCTCCAGGGCTCAGAGGAAGACGTCAAAAGGACAGCCAAAAAGAACACAGCGCAGTGTCAATCTATCTATAGCAACCACAGTGTTTCGGAGAAACAGGCAGAACTCCTTAGGGCCCAAGGCTAGGCACAGCAAGGCGATAGCCAGGCAAGTCACCAGCCTACCCAGCCCCTGCTTGCAGCTCAGTTATAGGAAAGGTAGTCGATGAGCCGTGGAGGGATGTTTAACTTGGCGACTTTCTCTAGCCCTCGAACACCAGTGGCCTTCCTCAAGCTCACCCTGCAGAGCTGGGAGAGCGTAAGAGGTGTCTCTGGAAAAAATAAAAAGACATGGAAATGTAAGAGGGTAATTTCTAGAAGAAGTACATCCTGTGACTTAATGAGTGCTAAGGCAGAACTGGAAGAGCCTCTCTTCCCTCTAGAATTAGGATGGATCACATGTCATCCCTGGAAAGTCGGATAGCCAGGGACCAGAGAATGAAGTCAGGCAACAAGGTTCAGGTGGCATCCACAGGGATTCCTCCTGTGGGGTTGGGTCCTTCGAGACAGGGGTCTTTTGTTTTGTTGGAGGGGATGGGATTGTTGCTTTGTTTTTGACAGTATTTGGCAAATAGATTTATCAGCAAAGAACTAGTTTGTGGTTAAGAGGCTCATTTGTCATACATCCAGCCAAACGAGACAGGACTGAAGGGCTTAAGCAAGGAAAGGTGCTAGCAGCCTGCTCATGTTACTGGAGGCTTCTTTCCTCAGTGGGGCCACAGGCCAAGGAATACAGCAAGAGCCGGTGCTTCAGTACAAAACGGTCCCCAGAGACAGAAGTATTCCCAGTGCATCCTAGCAGCCAAGGACAGGAGCTCAGGACTCAACTCAAAGCGGTCAGCATAAATTCAAGGAGAGATAGCAAACTGGGAACTCAAGGTGATTGGTGGGGGTTCCTGGCAACCAGGGTGTACTGACTGGTTTTCTGTCAACTTGTCACAAGTTAGAGTCAACAGAGAGGAAGGAGCCTCAGTTGAGGAAATGCCTTCATGAGATCCAGCTGCCAGGCATTTTCTCAATTACTAGGCAGTGAGGGAAGGCTAAGCCTATGGTAGGTGGGGCCATCACTAAGCTGGTGGCTTTGGCTTCTATAAGAAATCAGGCTGAGCAAACCTGGGGAAGCAAACCAGTAAGCCACTCCCCTCCGTGACCTTTGCATCAGCTCCTGCCTCTAGGATCCTGCCCTGTCTGAGTTCCTATCCTGACTTCCATTGATGATGATCAACAATATGGAAACGTAAGCCAAATAAAGCTTTTTCTCCCCAACTTGCTATTTGGTCATGGTGTTTGTTCCGTCGCAGCAACAAACCCTAACTAAGACACTAGGATATGGGGATATTTGCACAGCAGAGCCTGGCTCACTTTCATAGTACTCAAAGCACTTGGCCGGGGCGCTGCTGCTCCACGTGTAGTCCGAGGGCTTCTTCCCCCGGTTGTCCCGGGCGTAGATGTTGCCTCCAAACTCTATGAGCATCTCAATGAGGTCGACATTCTTTACTTTGGCCGCGTGATGAAGGGCGGTCTCGTGCAGTTTTGCTGCGTTTACATTGGCCCCTAGGCAGGATGGACAGAGCAGAAAATGTCCGTCACCAAAGGGAGGATGCGGAACCACAAAGAAAACTGACCTACAAATCATCCTTTGGTGGAGCACAAAAGCAATCCCTGCCCAGAAAACAAAATCAAGACGCACTCTTCTGTGCCTTCTCAAAAATCCAAGAGGAATAATTATTTTTCCTTATGAAAGTGAGGTCAGCAATAAGTATATATAAAGCAAAATAAAAGGCTTCTAATGTGTCAAATGTCTGTTCTGATGTGTCCTAGAGTCTGTCCTCACAGGTCCCTAGATTTCTAGAGGATCATCCTGAGTCACCCAAATGCTGCAGCTTTATACAGACACACCACGTGACACAGCTGCTCTGCCACAGCTGTGTTTGGAGGTTCGCTGTGAACTCAGCTCCACTCTTATCTTTCTGGGGGCATACGGAAAGCTCCAAAGAATTAGTAACTATATACATCATTTTAAAATGCATTAAAAAAAAATAAAGACTTAGCCTTGCAAGATGGCTCAGCACAAGCCTGGTGAGCTGAACCCAATCCCCAGAACCCACAAAAAGAGGGAAGGAGAGAACCAACTCCACAAAATTGTCCTCTGATAACACAAATGCAATAAGGCATGCACACCTGAGCTCACATGCTTGCAATCACGAGAAATAAAAGTTTAAGATAAACGTTTGAAAGTTAAAAATTATGATGACAGAGTGGTCTCTGTGAAAGGACCTTCTTGACCCACTGGTTCTATATAAATGGATTTTCTAAGGCCTCAGAATTTGTTTGGTAGAACAAGTTAACTTCTTTGAAGTTTCCTGAACCAGTAAAGAATAATAGCTAACAATTCATTGGAAAAGATTAAAGTATTTTAGAGAAACTAAGCAAATTTCTTAGTGTCGATAAATTCCCTAAATTACAGTTTCAAACCACAGTTGTAAATTCATAGCTAAATCAGCAACATGCCACTGCTGAGTACTGTTTTCTCCTTGAAACACTGCTGGAAAAGCCCTGCTTTCTGTTTTGAAATGTGTTTCATCCTCTGGAATTAAGGGCTGTGTTTATCACAATGGCCACGGGGTAATCCTGAGAGTACTCTTTCCATTCCTCCTCACAAAACCCAGAAAGCTCGGGCCAGGAGGGACTGACTGCTGACTCCTCAAAGGAGAAGGCTGAGTCACACATATAAATTACAGAACGGCATGAAATTTTGTAATTGCCCCACAGACCAATCCCTCTCTTCCCTCAGATGGTTTTCTTTCAATATTTCCTTATAGGAGTAAATAATTTTTAGACTGTTGTAACCATTGTGCAAAAATAAATTTTAATGCTAGATACACAATTTGTAATGGTCTAAATTGTAAAGACCACAGAGTCTAAAGTCCAAGTGGCTTTCTCCCATTGATTCTTGCAATATTCTTGCCAACCAGGAAGGAATGTGATTATCTCGATTTTAATGGGGCAGAAAAAGACTTCACAAAAGCAAAATGCCCTCAAGGTCAGAGAGAAAGAGGAAGCAGGAAAGATCTGGAACAGACACCCCTCCTTCCTGGCTATTAGCTACCTTGGCTCCTGAGATAAGGCCTTGGACCCTGAGTGACTCTTTCAAAGTTGCCTTCCCAAAGTAAACAATGAGATTTTTCCATAATGTGTATTATTTGATTGGGTAGAAAGGAAGGAGGGTAAAAGAAGGAAGCCAGCTGGAAACATCAGACCAAGCGTGTGCACGGCAATCTCTATGGGCTCAAGTTAGTGCTCAATGAAAGCAGAAACAGCAAGAGGTGATAAACACCGGCAGATTTTTGTTAGAAAGCTGGAGCGGGAACAAAAGGGGGGGGGGGATGCCAAAAGGGAGAGGCTTTGTGGCACAATGAGCATTTCACGTCTTGGCCATGTGGAGGAGGTGGTAAAGCGCCTTCTAGGCCCTAAGAACTGTCAATTTCATGCTTGGAGAAAGGGTTCAAAGCTGGCTCCCTAGCAAAATCCTAACTTCAAAAACAACAAAGGATTGATGTGATTTGGAGTAAAACAGAGAGCAGTGAAGTGAGGGCTGCCCAGCATCCTCGCTCGCAGCTGCGAACAGCCCCAGCCCTGGACAGCGGCACAAATGACTCAACACAGGGTAACACGGGCTCTGCCAAGGAGACGGAAGCACAAATAATCCTTAACTGCCCACTTCTGGGCGTTCCCCTTAGAGTTAAATATTTACTGTTAGTGATCAGATGGAACGTTACTTAACCCTAATAACTGGACTCTGACCCTCACCAGTTCTCGTCCTCTGCAAACAGAACCTAGTTCCTTAACTCAGCCTCTCTCCCTACACGAGAAAAGGCGCAACTGTCTCTTGGTTCACTGTGGAGTGCAGTATGTCCTCTCCATACATGGCTCATCTCCTCCACCGGAGTCAGGACCTTTGCTGTCACTGCAGAAGCACCTACTGCACTTTTTCTGGCATGTGGAATGGGGCTCTCCTTAGGTTCACAACAGGCCTATGACTGGGCCTCCGCAGTATAGAAACGCATTGCTTTTATAAGACTCCATGTGTGAATACCTAGGACTATGCTACCTCACTCTGCTTCTATGAGGGTTGGAAATACTTCACAAGGAGAAAGCAGATCAAAGGGGGAAAAAATGTAAAAAAAAAAAAAAAAAAAAACCAATTCTGTAGAGGGAGCCCATGAGAAATTAAAGTGGTATCTTCCTGGCTCCTCCCGTCTTCAGTTCCTATTTGGATCAAGGCTCGGGACCCTCTTTTCTGCTTTCCTGGTACATTCTGCCCCAGACTGCATCTGCCCTTAGTGCTTAACTTCCTCTGTGGAGAAAGGAGATGCCCCCTACCCCAAATTCTACTCATCCTCGAGGTATAGAAATTTCCCTTTAAAAAAGTATTGGGAGTTGGGGTGGGGTGAGCAAACAGACCTCCCCTCAACTCCAGGGTGGGCTCTGACTGCTCCAATCCCTTTTCTTCTGTCATAGTAATTGGTTCAAGTCACCCAACCCGAAGCTGACAAAGCTGGACTCCAGGGATCAGGTTTGGACACAAGACCTCGATTAAGCCACTGAAGCATTGGGGGAGGTAAGCTAGTGACACCAGGAAAGGAGAAGCTCCACTTTTCTGAAAAAGCTACAAGGGAGCCTTAGGATATAAAGTGCTGAAGGGCTGAGAGATGCTGTTCTCACGACTGCCTGGAACTCCAGCTCCAGGGATACCTCTCTCTCTCTCTCTCTCTCTCTCTCTCTCTCTCTCTCTCTCTCATACATACACACATGCATACACACATGCACACACACACACACACACACACAGCTTGTATCAGCTGCATCCATTTATCCGCTATCATAGTAGCCAGCTAACTTAAGAAAAGCAGATTTTGAAATTCAAAGTCATAGTGACACTCTGGAACCATGAGCTTAGAATGACTATACTTCTGCTACACTTCTCAAGTTCTGTCACATGAATCAAGAAATGACTTCATTGTTAACCCAGTAGTAATTGCTTTCTTCATTCCAGCGGCCATCCAGGGACTGTTGGGGTCTGTATTCATGGAGTCAACGAGCCAAAGATTTAAGTATTCTGAAAGGCAAAAAAGATTTCACCTATCCCAAACATGTGCAGACCTTCTGTTCACTTCGGTAGTCTCTCTGCAGAGAGCCTTTTTCAAACACCCGCCACGAGCCAGATTATACCTGCTCCCTTCTCTTATTTGCTGCCAACGCCATTTCCCAGTACAACTCTGACTCAGATTCAGATAGCAAAACTCCTCAGGCAGATATGATGGACTGCTGCCTATATTTGCTAAAAATAACATTCATGGCTCTGAGATGGCTCATCAAGTTGCGCTACTTGCTGTACAAACAAGAGGACCTGAGTTCAGATCTCCAGGACCCACATACGGCTCTGTGAACCGTAACCGTGTTCTTCTGTGAAGGGTAGAGAGAGGAGGATCACTGAGGTTTGCTGGTTGCCAGCCTAACTCACAGTTCAGTGAGAGAGCCTGCCTGAAGGGAATAAGGCAGAACAGAGAGTGGTAAAGCAGGACACCTAACATCCCCCTCTGGTACGTGTACAATACACACACACACATACACACACACACGCACGCACACACAAATAAATGTTGACTGTATACCAGGCATTATAGAAACATTATTGAGAATATTCCCAACACCTGGGAAAATAGGTGCTATTTTTCTAGTCCTATAGATACAGAAGCTAAGGCACAAGTTTTTCCTGAGTGGTGCGAGAACCAATTTCAAACCGTTTTCTGTCTGCTTCCACTACCCAGACCTCTGCTAACGCAGCGCAGGTAACTCATCCACTCGGGTAAATACTAGCTTGAATAAACAGCAGCATACCTGCATTGAGCAACACTTTGACGCAGTCCAAATGCTCTCGTGCACAGGCAACATGTAGAGGGGTCCCAAAATGGCAGTCGTGAGCTTCCAGATTGGCCCCAACATCAATAAGAAGCCGCACACATTCAGAACTCCCTTAAAACAAAAGGGGAGAGATGGAGGTGTTCATGAACATGGATGCTGGAAATGGTAACCATAACAAGCAGCAGCTAAAAAGGTGGCACTGCCATGAACAGAGGGTAAGCAGCCTATATCTCAACATACAAAGCACTGGTACCTCGGCAAGGCCCTAGAAGAATACAAAGGCATCTCCCCTGTCCCCCTCAGGAGTTCTTAGCACACTTGGTAGTAAAAGGAAAGGGTCTGTCCCTGCTGAGGACAGAAGACGTGGGAAACCACTTGGACACAGGGATCAGAAACCATCCCGATCCTCATCTCCAAGTTTCCCCGCACTGTGTCTGGAGAGCATCCAGGTTACAGAAAGCGCACATAGCTGCTGTCATCCGGCCAGTCTCTGGGAAGAAAGAACCTTTCTCTGACTTTCTCACTCTGCAAGTTGCCCTCCGGCACCTCCTTGTCTTCAAGGCAGGTTTGGATTGGGATCCTCCACTTCCCTCCTCTCCAGGAAGATTCTGCTACAGACTCCATCTTCTCTTTTTTCTTTTCTTTTTCTTTCTTTCTTTCTTTCGTGTTGTTCTTTGTGTTTTTGGTTTTTGTTGTTCTTTTGAGGCAGGGTTTCTCTGTGTAATAGTTTTGACTGTCCTGGAACTCACTCTGTAGTCGAGGCTGGGCTTGAACTCGCAGATCCGCCTGCCTCTGCCTCTGGAGTGCTGGGATTAAAAGCGTGCGCCACCACGGCCAATCATCCATCTTCTCATATCACTTAATTACCACTTCATTGTTGATAGCTACCTAGCAATCATCCCCATTCCTAAAACTTAACCCCACACCCACTGCTGGCCGACCTCATTAACATTACAACTACCACACAGTCTACTTTCCCAAAGGTCCCTGCTCCTAGATAAATTCTTTTCAGGCAGTTCCATTGCTTCCAGCTGAATCTGAGTCACTTTTTAATCTCACTTTTGTGCCTTTCCCTCAGACCAAATCCTACTTGATACTGGGTGGGCAAGGAGCTTGATGTAAGGAAACCAAGGAAACCTGTAGCCATATCTTAGCAACTAGGTCTCCTGATGGTCAAATAGCCACTATGGATAGACATCATTGAAGCTTCAATTAGGTTGTTCCCAGTGTATCAGAGACTAAAACACCAAGGCCTTTCCCAACACATGCATGTTACTGAAGGGTCCACATCCCAACAACCTGACATCATTATAATATCACTAGCATTGAGGGTTTTGACACATACCTCTCCTTTGATGGGTTTTATTTTCTTAGAATATCATAAGAAGAAATACCCTAAAATGGAAAGACTAATCCACCATAATTTAGGAGAAGAATATGCATCCTCCCTCACAAATATTCATAAAAACTTCTTTATGATCCACAACTCAGAATTCTCTGGGTTGCACACACCATGGGATGGCACATTCCAATCTTTCTGTGGAGTCTTTGTTTTAGAAAAACTTCTGCTTAAACCATGTTTCCTGACTGAATTCTTTTCTTCAAGAAGAACCGGGTCCCTCCCCCATGGACACAGGCCACCATCCTCCTCTGGGCTTTATACTGGGCCATTCCAATGGGCCCTGACACATAGACTCACCACTCATGCAGGCCTCGTGTAGCGGGGATGCTGTGTACAGAGGAGGGTTGACCTTCGCCCCATAGGATAGCAAGAGCTTCACACACTCGATGCTGCCTGAGGCACAAGCGTCACAAAGAGGGGTGCTGCCATCAATGTTGCGCGCATCCACCTCCAACAACAGAAGAAACAAACGTCAAAGGGTGAGGGAAATGAATGGGATGACACTTGTAATCTTTCTGCAGAGCCATCATTGGAAAGACCGTGTCTTAAAATTACCAGTTTGCTGCTGTGCACCAAGTCAGGCGAGGTAGTTCAAAGAGAAAAGACATGTGGTTTGGAGGTAGGAATGCACGCGTGTCTCCTAAGTATAGACGTCTGTCCCTCATCCTCCCTTCCCTCCCAGGGCAGGCTGAAACTTGACCTCACCCACACTACCACCCTAGGCAAATAATAAACATAGGGCAGAAAGGGAGAGCCTGAGGTTGCAAGCTGGGGAAATGGGAATCAAGGTGACTTTTAACTCAGCTTTGACTTAAAAAAAAAAAAGTGCTTCATACTGCTTAGCATGCCTCATCTTGTATGAAAAATCACCATCCAGGAAGAGGGCGACTCCCTAGACAGAGAAAACAAACTCAGAATTGACCGAAGTTTGGCTTCTACACACTGAAAACCGCGGAACTTGTTCCATTCCAAGCTTTGGGGAAGAGTAAATGGTGCATTGCCTTCGCTCTGCTCTCACCTGGTGAGCTCCGAGAACAGAGCGCAGTACTCGTTATAAGCACCAGCGTAGGGGCTGGCGCAGATCCTGACAGCTCTGCTAAGCAGGCCGGTAGTCTGCAGAAACCACTGGCCGCTAAAACTAACTGCAGGCAACCAGATCAGAAGTTTGTTCTGTTACTTTCATTCCCCCACCCCAGCCCACCCCACTTGTTTTGCCAGCACCTCACTTGTACGACCTGGAACCAAGAACTCTGTTGGTTAAACCTACGCTGCAACTGTTCAGCCCAAGACCAACTGCACCCTGAGAGTCTGCGTCTGGTCCATAGCTGCCCAGCTCTGCCCTGACCATCTCCAAGCAGAGTTAGGCTAAACCACTTCGCTAAAACTGCCCCAATCCAAAAACACTTCCCTGCTCTGGTCCACAGCAACCACCCCATCTCCCCCTCTGGCTTCCAGTTCCCTAAGCAGTTTCACTGTAACACCCCGACTAGTCACGGGTTTGCATGACCTTAGAGTCATACTTCTCACTAGTATGCTCCCGAGACCAGCCCATCCACTCCTACAGCTGCAGCAGCTAGGTAGCCATCAACCCCACAAGGTCACCCACCTGGGCACCAGCTGCCAGCAGCAGCTGCACGCACTGGGTCTGGCCGTGCAGACTAGCAGCATGAAGGGGCGTGATGGAGTCCACGGTGACTTGATTAACACATGCTCCGCTCTCAATCAGCTGCTGAAGTTGAAGGCTCTCGCCCCGCTGAGCTGCCTCATGCACAGGGGTGCGCTCCACCCAGAAACCTGCAGAGGAAACAGAGTCCTTACTAAAACCCTCCCACTGCCATCAGGACAAATGAACACATGCGAGACTCCAGTACCCAGTGGCAGCCAATATACCGTATGTGGCTATGCAATTGATCCCGATGATCTGATTAAAATCCATAAGCAGGGCTGGAGAGATGGCTCAGCGGTTAAAAGCACATACCGCACCTGGCAGTGATGGCCCATGCCTTTAATCCCAGCACTCAGGAGACAGGCAAGCGTACCTTTGTGAGTTCAAGGCCAGCCTGATCTACAAGCCAGGGCTACACAGAGAACTCCTGTCTAAAAAAACAAAAAACAAAAAACAAAAAAAAAAACACATACTGCTCTTCCAGAGGACCCAGGTTCAATTCCCAACTAGGTAGGGGGTAGAGTTCAAAGTCCTCGCCAGGGCATATAAGGATGTCTGTGCTATGTATCTGGTTCACACTATGATCCCCTCTCCCACCTCTGGCCCTTACAGACACAGCTATAGCTCACTGCTGTGCTTAGGAGTTGCACACATTTACTTCTGTATACTGTGCCTTACCAAGAAGGAAGTAGCCCATAAGTAGCAATATACAGTTTGAGGGGATAGTGTTTTATAGTGTAGCTAACAATTTAAAGTCAGTGTGGGAGAGGAAAACCCCAAAGTAAGAGAAGTTCCGTGCAACTTTAAAAGGAAAAGAACAACAAAATAAGCCTTACGTTTGTGTTGGGGTGACAGAAATCAGAAATCAGAAGCAGCAAGTGTGGTAAGCAAAAGTGGAGGTGGACGGAGCAGAGGAAGAGCAGGAGGAGGAGGAAAGGGAAGAGAGATTTCAGTCCATCAAAGGGCACAATCAACAGAGTTAAAGACAATGCATAGAATGGAAGAAAATATTTGCAAATTACACATCTGCTAAGAGATTAATATCAAGAATATATAAATGACTTCCACAGTTCAACAACTTAAAAACCAAATAATTCAAGTTTAAAATGGGCAAAGGGTTTTAACAGATATTTATCCAAAGAAGACATACAAATGGCCAATAAACATATGAAAAGATTGTCAACATCACTAATCATAAAGAAATGCAAGCCCAAATTACAATGAGATGCTATTTCTTACTCATTTGTTGTATAGCAGTTGTTTTTTTTTTTTTTTTTCTGAGACAAAACATTCAATCCCGGAGGGAATCTCATTAAGATTCTTGATATTCTGGATGTTCTAAGGAGAGGTGAAATAGTCCATTCTACAAGAAAACATCTTAAAACCCAGGAAGCAGACGACTCAGTAGCATCAGGAAGTTCCCGAAACTGAGGAGATTCACAAAGTCTCTCGCTCTCCAGACATACATAACTAGTAAGGACTGATAAGAGACCCTCTCAAACACGTGAAGCCTAGAAGATGCTGAGACCAACTGAGCTGCCTGGAAAGGACACTCTCCAATGCGGTGCTGCTTTCAAGTGAACTCCAGGTTTGCAGCTTTCATGAGCTATCATCCATGATGCATGCACTGGTGCAGCTGTCTGAGTTATTCCTGATCTTGTACATGACCCCTCACCCATACTCCTGTAAGTAAACCCAACAAACTCACCCATACTCTCATAAGTAAACACAACAAAGATAGAAACAATTCAAGTGTTGATCAAGAGATGAGTGCACAAGTAAGATGTGGTACACACAACACTCATTAGCTCTACACAGGAAGAAAATATGAACACATGTATAGGCCTTGAAAATGCTATGCTAAGTGCAAAAGTGACTCACGAAAGGACATGTGCTATATGATTCCACTCACATGGGGTACCTAAAGTAAACACAACCGCAGGGACAGAAAGCAGCCTAATGAGACTGGGGACGGTAGAGAGTGATTGTCTAAAAGGTGCATGAAGTCAATTTTTCAGGATAAAAAAAGTTCTGTGGGTGAAGGATGGTGATTGTTGTGCTTAATGTGCAACCAACTTAACACCACTTCTGAACTCTGCATCTTTTGTTATATGTTCTTTACCGCAATTCAAATGTTTAGGAGGGGGCTGGAGAGATGGATCAGCTGTTAAGAGCACCGGCTATTCTTTCAGGGGACCAGAACTCAATCTTTAGCACCTACATGATGGTTCATAACCATTTATAACTCCAGTCCTGGAGGATCCAGCACCCTTTTCTGGCCTCTGATGGCACTGAATACATGTGTTACATCAGCACATATGAGGACCAAACACCCACAGTCATAAAATAAAAATAAAAATTTCTGCATTGCTAGTGGGAATGCAAGCTGGTACAGCCCCTTTGAATGTCAGTGTGGCAATTTCTCAGAAAATTAGGAAATAACCTTCCTCAAGACCCAATAATACCACTTTTGCTCAATCATGCCACAAGGACATGTGCTCAACTATGTTCATGAAGCTTTGTTTGTCATAGCCAGAACCTGGAAACCTAAAAGCCCCTCAACCGAAGAATGGAAAAAAAAAAAAGTGGTCCATTTACACAATGGAGTACTACACAACAGAAAAAAATAACGACAGCTTGAAATTTTGCAGGAAAATGGATGAAGCTAGAAAACATCATTTTGAGCAAGGTAACCCAGACACAGAAAGAGAATTATCACATGTACTCACTCATAGGTGGTATTTAAACATAAAACAAAGAAAGCCTACAAACCACAATCCCAGAGAACTTAGACAACAATGCAGACACTAAGAGAGACTTACATAGATCTAATCTACATGGGAAGTAGAAAGTAGAAAAAGACAAGATCTCCTGAGTAAACTGGGAGCATGGGGACCCTGGGGGAGGAGAGAGGCCGGGAGGGGAGCAGAGAAAAATGAGAGCTCAATAAATATTAATTAAAAAATAAAACAAAAAAAATAAATTAATTAATTAAAAAAAATAAAACAAAAATTTCAAGAGTAACTATATTAGTTACTTTTCTCATCACTATTGGAAAACACCTAACAAACGCAACTGAAGGCAGGGAGAGTTTATTTTGGCTCAGGGTAAGAGATAAAACCCATCACAGCGGGCAGGACATAGGTGCAGGAGCATGAGGCGGCTCACACATTGTGTGCACAGTCAGGAAGCCGGGAGAGAGAGACAAAAGCTAGTGCTCAGCTCACGGTCTCCTTTTCTCTGTTTTATTCCATCTAGAACCCCGGTCCATGGATTAGAGACAGCTACATCCTCTGGGTCTTACTTAGCTGTACCTCTCTGGAAAGGCTCTCACAGAAATACCCAAAGGTGTATCTCCCAGGTTATTCCAATTCCAATTAAGCGGCCAAGAAATATTAGCTGTTACAGAAACAAAAAGCCGGAGCATGGAATCTGAACATGGAAAGAGCTGCCATCTGCTCACTGACATCAGCAAAAGATAGCTTTAGAGCAGGGAGGGGAATCAGTCATCCAGGGTGCATCCGACACTCCTGGCCACTGGATGGCTCTCCTGGGGTTGCAAATTAGGGAGGAATAAGGCATTCTCTTCATAAAGACTGGTAGCGAGCACCAGGGAAGACAACAAAAAAGTAAGGGGAAGGACAGCTTGTGTGTGAGAACTTAATTATATTCCTAAGAGGAAGTGCAGAAAATACAGCCAGTTAGGACACTGGCTGGTCAGGCTTTACCACCGGCTAGTCCAACCCAGTGCCAAGACCCCAGTTCTGATGGAGGGCTCCATTCCCAAATCTCAAGAATTCTCTCCTGGAGGTAGTGTTACATTGGAAATCTGAGACCCTGCACTATTTTGGCAAGCTCCCTCTGGGGCTGGAGCCCAATCTTCAATCCTTGCCATGTAACTGGTCTCCCATTACCAGCTTGATCCCATAACCCTTCCTCCTCATCTAGCCAAATAGTAAGTTGGTCATGTGGGACCTGATCACAGTCTTCCAGTGGCTATTATCTTTTGGAAGTCAAGGTGCCTGTCTCTTTATGTGTAGAAATCTTTACTTTAACATCTGATCTGCAGGGCTGTGAAGATAACTCAGCAGTTAAAAGCACTGGCTGCTCTTCCAGAGGATCCTGGTTCAATTCCCAGGACCCACATGGCAGAGCACAACCGTCTTTAACTCCTGTTCCAGCTGATCTGGCACCCTCACACAGACATACGTGCACATAAAATAAAATAAAATTTTTTTTTAAAATATAGAGCTGCTTTTGTGTTTAAAGTATTTCTCAACCAAGTCTTTTTAAATGTTTTAATTATGAATCTCCAGAATATTCTTTGACAAAAGAATATATAAATGACACGCAATGTGACTTTAAAATGCACTCAGTGTTAGAAGAAGAAGAAGAAGAAGAAGAAGAAGAAGAAGAAGAAGAAGAAGAAGAAGAAGAAGAAGAAGAAGAAGAAGAAAAAGAAGAAGAAGAAGAAGAATCCCAATCTATACATTTTTTAAAAACACACAGTGAGGTTCAAGAAAGAAAAGTTTGTTTCGGTGGAGGGACTAAGGAGGTGCAGCTCTAAAAGACTGAGGAAAAGAAACCGAAAGAGAGAAAGTGAAAGTGAAAACATTGCCTGGGAGGAGAAAGAACCAGGAAGTTGCTGCACCAGAGCCCTGCTGAAAACACCTGCCTAGAATGATTGATCTTCATCTTTTCCTTCCCCTCCACATCACTGCGCCAGTAATTTGCTGCCTGCCTTCCCTGTTGTTAGCCACCCTACGATGCTTACACATGAGGGTGCTCTCCCTTCCCAAGCCTCAGTCACAAAACACAGCAAGCGGGGGCTTCATTTCACACAGCCCTGCACTCCTGTTCTGTCTTTTCTTGTTTTTATTAGTAGTCTGAGCTGGCCTTGAACTCATCACCATCCTCCGGCCGGACCAGCTGAGATTACAAGTGCATGCCTCCGTGCCTGGCTTATCTTCTTCATTTCTGTTGAAGAACTTTAGGAAAGGTTTTTTTTTTTTTTTTTTCATTTGAAGTGGCAGCCTTAGTTTTCTTGTGAAGGACCTAGCTTTTCATGGGGCCACATTACGGAGAAAAGATAAGGATGTGTGTGCTGTTTTTCTCATCAAAAGTGGATTTATTAGTTATTATTTTCTTTGAGATCTTTTTTAGCCTCAGGTATGCTTATCTTGCTTGTCAACAACTTCTCTTTGAATTCCTATTTCGAGGTAAGTTTTCCATTCTGACCCTTCAAAGTATGACTCTAAGCTTTGGAAAACATCCTGAATTCTTGCTAAGAGTAGGTGGTCACATTAAAAAAGAATAATGAAGCTGGGGGTTCCCAATGACACATGGACAATCTTTTCTGGCCCTTCTCCAAAGGCCTCATTAAATTGAGAGGAAAATATAGCTACATAAGCAAACAAAAATGATCTAAAAAGTGGTATGCATAAATATTTTGTTTACAATACAACAGGAATGTAGAATTACAGGTCAGAATGTCACACAGGTAAAATCCCTATGGCAGGCTCCACTTTTGCTGGAACAGTGATGCTGTTTTGGATCTAACACATTCAGTTTATTCACTTAGGCCAGAAATACAAATACCCCCATGACAGATTTTTGGAGAAGCATAGTATTTTTTAAATGGCAATGCCAAAAAAAAAAAAAAAAAAGATCCAGCATAGTGGCACAAGCCAGGTACTCGGGAAGCAGAGGCAGGTGGCCAGTTCAAGACCAGCCTGAGCTACAAAGTGAGTTCTGCGACCTCCAGGGCCACACAGAAAAGCTGTCTCAAAAAAAAAGTAAATAAATAAAATTAAAAACAATAACCTCAACATGTGTGCATCCACTAATTGAGAATGTGATTTTCTTCTCTACAGGCTGTGCAGAAAATATACTTGGGAGTGATGTTTTTAAAATATTTATTTAGAGACAAGGTCTTGCCATATAGCCTAGGTTGGCCAGGAACTCTGCTTTCCAAGGGCTAGGGTTTCAGGTGACTTCCACCAGGCCTGGCTCTGATGCTGTGCTATCTTCTACCTGAGCAAAATAAAACGTGTGCTTTACAGGCTTCCGTAGTTAACCACCCATTGCATATTCACTTATCAAATACTGACCATGAGGGTCAAAGTCTTGGACCAGCCTAGGATGCCAAGAAAAACAGATACTCATTAAACGGTCTTTGATCCTTCTGAAGGTGTTTGTTTTGCAAAAAAATCAATTAAAATAATTTTCTGCCTTGTTATGACTGCAATTTCCTACTTGGCCAAATTAACTTACGGTTTTTTATTTTCTTTACATTACTGTTTTTATTTATGTAAAAATGCTGGGGCGGGGGGGGGCTTTTGGTTTGTTTAACTTTGCTTGTGTTTTGTTTGTTTTCTTTCCAAGCTTTCAGAATATATTTTCGTTTATTTATCATGCTATTACTTTGTAAGCAATAAAAAAAATTACTTCTCCAAAGACTGCCCCTTCGCCTTCAAATCTATTTCATTCTAAGGCTGCCCTAAAGGTACAGAGAACACTTTTTTAGCGCCAGAAATGCCACAGGTTTGGGCCAAATCCTCATTCTGGTGCTTACTCCATAGTAGGGCCTGGCCGTGTCGTAAGCTCAAGAGAGGTCTGGATTTTAGTTTACCCTAAGGCAATGCCTGGTTCCAAGAAAGACCACCCAGGCACCAACCAGGAATTGGTTCAACCTTTGTAGGTAGGATCACCTGCCAGCACACACCCATCGCTTTTCACCAGGACACCCCTAGACAAATGTCAGTCAATCAGGGGTCCTGAACCTTAGAAATCCCTCAGCGTAACCTCTGGTTTTATAAAAACCCCACCCCAATGGGGCTCTCTTATCATGCCAATGCGTTGGACACAGGGAGAATCCGAGTTTGAACTTGAATAAGAATAAAGGTTCTTTGCTTTTACATTCAGGACTAGGTCTCCTAGTTCGTTTTTGGGGGGTTCCGTGATCCGGGCATAACAGCCGCAGCTGAAGTATGGGTAGGATGCTGTGAACCACCACGCGATACACTGCACCAAGCGCCCGGAAAGTGGTGCAGAAACCGCAGTGGGCTCTTGCTGAGGCTGCCAACCAATGTGTCCAGTGCACACACGCTTCCCAGAATCTGTCACTGAACTAGGCAACAACCCCGCTTGATCCCCAAAGTGTGCGGTTCTCGGGTGAACTGGCAGTTCTGAATCCCACACCTGGTGCAACTCAGGGATGACCAGCCCCGCAGTGCACCGGTCTGGAACAAGGTGATAAAATTAAACGCCGATCCGAGATGCTCAGAATCACCCGGACCCTGCTCGAATCTCTACATCCCACTCCACCAACCGGGCGCGCTGCCCATCTCCGGGATAAAGGCTACCCATAAGCTTACTCTATCCCCAAGAGCTGATACTGGTCTTGGCTCCAGCCCCTGTGTGGTGCCCTTGGCCTCTGCGGCGCGAAGCACGTACCCACGTCTCCCAAAAAGCTGCCGTCCCCGGCGCGCGGCTCCATGGGGCTCGCCGGCTCTGGGGCCCTATCTACCGGCCTTGTGACTCCCGGGCACTGGGACCTGAGCCCGGACTTAAGCCCGGACCCAAGCCGGGACGTGAGCCGGCACCTACCCGGGAGCACAGGCCGCTGGGCGGGGCCTGACTGCTTCCGTGGCCACCTCTGGGAGTTGTAGTTTCTGTTGATTCGCAGCTTGCAGCTTGCCACCCACACCCGTGTCATCACCAAAAGGTGTGCGTGCTTGCGCATGCAAACTGAAGTGTGCAAAATGTGCTCCCGTGTGACACGTTGCACATGTGAATACGTGTCCATAAACAAGTCCTGCGTTTAGACGAGAAGCCTGGATACCTGTGTCCGTATGTAAAAGATGCGTCCACGTGCAAAACGTTTGGTTCCTAAAACGCTAGTCCATGTGCAAAATGTGCCTAGCTGCCGAAACTGGCCTCCTGTAGTTTACAGTGTTCCAGCTAAACAAAGTATCCAGGCCCTTCATGCCTTAAAGAGGAGCCTTCCAGTGAAACTGGTGATCAAAAGGCCTGAGTCTTCCACTTTTTTAAAATAAATCATAACTTTCAAATAGTTGAAATTCATTGACGAAAATTACGTTTTTTAGTGGACAGTTTTAATTTGGCGTCTTGATAACCGTTTTAGCAGAAGGAAGCTGGAGTGCCTTGAGCAGCCTGGCAGAAATGAGAAACCAGTCTTCCCCGGGGAATTCAAAAACAAGCAGTATCCTCTTCTTCTCTCTTCTCTTCTCTTCTCTTCTCTTCTCTTCTCTTCTCTTCTCTTCTCTTCTCTTCTCTTCTCTTCTCTTCACGTTTGGTGTTTGGGAGGATTATTGCTCTATCTTTTCCTGCTTTGTTGCAGTATATCACTATGTTGTGCCAGGCCAAAATCAAACACACATTTCTCCTTCCTTGCCTCACAAGGATCAAGGACTACACAGGTATTCCTGGCCTGCCCAGATTTGAGGTATTTTGGAGGGATAGTCTGCCTATTAGAGCACAAAACTCTCCGTGAAATGCAGAAACTGAAACAGTATGATAATATGAAATATTAGAGATAGGGCCCAAGAATCAGGTTAACTTACATGGAAGAACTTTTTGTTTAACAGAAAACATGTAACAAGTAAATAGGAAAGGAGGACTCAGTCAATAAACTCTAATGAACTCGTGTTGCTCTATATGAAAAAAGATAAAAATTATTTTACATCACAAAATTAGTTCCAGATGAGTGAAACCAAGCGTGGGAAAAAAAAAAGGAGCTTGGGAAGTGGCTCAGTGGTTAAGAGCACTGAATGATCTTTCAGAGGTCCTGGGTTCAATTCCCCGTGCATATGGTGGCCCACAACCATCTATAACTGTACCCCCATGGGATCTGATGCTTTCTTCTTATATACAAACGTACATGTAGACAAAACAACCATCTACAGAAAATACATAAATAAATCAATCTTTAAAATAAAAGAAAAATGTGACTATAAGAGAAAATTGCTTTGGCATCATAATAATTTTTTATACAAGGCACAAACCCAGAAAGGCAGAAAGGGAATTACTGGTGAATTTGAGGACAGTAAAATCAAAAGGTCTTGAAGGACAAAAGACACCTGTAAATAAGACAAGAGCATAAACCACAGAAAGAAGGCAGCTACAGCCATGAAGTCAGCAGCAGATGGATCCTTGATACAACCTACGTTCTCCAGAACAGCAAGTAAAAGACAAAACAACAGGGGGAAACTATGCATCAAAGCATATGAAGGGGAAATTTATAGACAAAGAGATGAGGTTTGGTTCACCAATGAAATGCCTCTGTATGCCTATTCATCTGGCACAAATGTTGAAGTTTGACAATAAGAAGATATAACAAAGACATTAAGAATTAATCATTTTTCTTTTTTATTCTTGTTTTGTTTCGCTTTGCTTTTTTGTTTTGTTTGGTTTGCTTTGGTTTTCTGAGACAGGGTTTCTCTGCGAACCAGCCCTGGCAGTCCTGGACTTTGTAGACCACGCTGGCCTCGAACTCACTGAGATCCACCTGCGTCTGCCTTCCAAGTGCTGCGTTTAAAAATGTGTGCCAATACACTCATCGAGGAACCAATTCTTATATATATGACCAGTGGAAGGTAAAATTAGCATAACTGCTTTGACAAAGCTGAGTCAGACTGGTTCCCAGAGAGGTCCCCAGGATGCCTTTCTGGGAAAGCTTCCAGGATGCAGTTTCTCTTTCACGCTGTAGCTTTAAGTCCTTCCTTTATCAGCATAATGGCTGACTTCCTGCTGTCAGAAAGGAAATTCTAATTGATCATTGACTCAATAAGTTCTTTCAGAAGGGCCACTCAGAATAGGAGAGTTCTCAAGTCCAATGTACTGGTAAATCCCTGTTGGTCACCACCATAGACATGAACATTTCTCAGAGGTACAGGTAAGAAATGTGGTTTTAAAAAGAAGTATCTCATCCACCTCCCTTGAAGGAAGGTATTAGCAGGTTTTAGGCAAATAAGAGTGTATTGTATCTTTTTAATGATCTGAGAATTATCACTTTGAACTTTTCTCTATAAAATGGAAATACTAATCACTCAGGCATTAATGTAAGATCACAAAGTCTCTAAAATCTGTAAAATGTTCAAAATTGCTATACTAAGTTCAAGGGCTTCTTTTTGCATTCAACAAAATCAAGGTTAAAAAGTTGTGTAAGCCTGAACCATCCCCACCCCTTGTAAACTAATATAGAATCTTACATTCACCTCACTGGTTACACCTTTATGAAACTCTGGAAATCTTTTATTAGAATTCCACGTTTGAACTTTAGACTTTAACAATGCAACAATCCTTGCTCTAGTTTCCTCTCTGCTTCATTCATGTCCTATCTTCCCTCTCTCTACCCCTCCCTCATGCCTTCCCTCCATCCCTCCTTCTGTCTTTCCTTTCTTAATTCCTTCTCTACAAAACTTTCTAATAAATTCAGAAATCAGGAAATGTGAGTCAACTTTGTCCTTGCATAATGTTTTTACAGCTGTATTAGAAGTGTTGCATTCACCTGAACTATATAATAAGATTGCTTATTTCTGCCAGCAAGAAAATCAATTGGGATTTTGATTGAGGAATGTATTTTACCTATAAGTCAGTAAGGAGGCACTGTCTTCTTAACAGTGTTCAATGTTTTGACTCAAAACATGAAGTAACGGCCCATTTATTTATGTCTTTGTTTCAAAATTTTTCTCTAGCTTTCAGTATACATGGCTTCCAATTTTTTGTGAGATCTATTTTTAAATATCTCATTGGGTTTTGTAGTATTGGAAATGACTTTTTTAAACTTAATAGTCTTTATTATAAATGTAGAAAACATGATTGATAATGGATTTGTTTTTTATTAATATTTACTGAACTCTACATTTTTCTCTGCTCCCCTCTCTGCCTCTCTGATCTCCCCTTCAATCTTCCCCCAAGGTCCCCATGCTCATAATTTACTCAGGAGATCTTCTCTTTTTTTTTTTTTACTTTCTACTTCCCATGTAGATTAGATCTATGTAAGTCTCTCTTAGTGTCCTCATTGTTGTCTAAGTTCTCAGAGATTGTGGTTTGTAGATGAGTGCATACATGTGATAATTGTCTTTCTGGGACTGGGTTACCTCACTCAAACTGATGTTTTTTAGCTTCATCCATTTGCCTGCAAAATTCAAGCTGTCTTTTTTTCTTTTTTTTCTTTTTGCTGTGTAGTACTCCATTGTGTAGGACCACATTTTCCTTATCTATTCTTTGGTCGCGGGACATTTAGGTTGTTTCCAGGCCCTGGCTATGACAAACAAAGCTGCTATGAACATAGTTGAGCACATGTCCTTGTGGCCTGATTGAGCATTCTTTGGATATATACCCAAAAGTGTTATTACTGGGTCTTGGGGAAGGTTGTTTCCTAGTTTTCTGAGAAACTGCCACACTGACATCCAAAGGGGTTGTACCAGCTTGCATTCCCACCAGCAAGGCAGAGTGTTCCCTTTTCCCCACAACCTCTCCAGCATAATTTGTCATCAGTGTGTTTGATTTGGGCCATTCTTACAGGTGTAACATGGAATCTCAGAGTTGTTTTGATTTGCATTTCTCTGATGACTAAGGATGTTGAACCTTTCCTTAAGTGTCTTTCAGCCATTTTAGATTCCTCTGTTGAGAGTTCTCTGTTTAGATCTGTACTCCTTTTTTTTTATTGGATTATGTGATCTTTTGGTGTCCAATTTCTTGAGTTCTTTGTATATTTTGGAGATCAGACCTCTGTCTGATGTGGGATTAGTGAAGATCTTTTCCCATTCTGTAGGCTGCTGTTTTATCTTGTTGACTATATCCTTTGCTTTACAGAAGCTTTTTAGTTTCAGGAGGTTCCATTTATTAGTTGTTACTCTCAGTGTCTGTGCTGCCAGGGTTATATTTAGGAAGTGGTTCCCTGTGCCAATGCATTCAAGTGTACTTCCCACTTTCTCTTCTGTGAGGTTCAGTGTGACTGGCTTTATGTTGAGGTCTTTGATCCATTTGGACTTGAGTTTTGTGGATGGTGATAGATATGAGTCTATTTTCATTCTTCTACATGTTGATATCCAGTTATGCCAGCACCACTTGTTAAATATGCCTTCTCTTTTCCATTTGATGTTTTTTTGCTTCTTTATCAAAGATCAGGTGTTCGAAGATGTGTTGATATCTGGGTCTTCTATTCAGTTCCATTGGTCCTCCTGTCTGCTCTTATGCCAATACCATGTGTAAACTTTTAAATTACTAACTTAAACCACTTCAGATAGGTTTGTTCACATTTTCTATTGCTTTTTAAATTATTTTAAATTACATTTATCTATTTGTCATCAGCATGTGTGTGCCATCAGAGGGCAGCTTGCAAGAGTCAATTCTCACCTTCCATAATATGGGTTCTGGGGTGTGAACTCGGGTTGTTAGATTTAGAGGCAAGTGTCTTAGCTCACTGAATCATCTTGCTAGCCTAGATTTCTATTCCTTCTTGGCTCAGTTTTATCAATCTGTTCCTTTCTCAAAATGTGTCTATACAATTTACCTAATTTGTTGCCTTGAGTTGTTCATAGTAGTTCGTTAGAATATTTTTTTATTCCTGTGTTTTCATCACTGTTCTTCT